GTATAAGTTGTAAGGGTTAAAAAAAAAAGTTAAAAGACGAATACATTATATATATATATATATATATATATAATGCAACAATATGCTACAAATCATTATAATTGCAAAATCGTTGCTTTGAGTATTTCCTTTAAATATATGAGACTATTATTGCGATATGCAGATAATATAATTCATAATTAAGAACCTGTTGAAACTTTTTATGTAGAAAATATATTCATACGTGTCATATTTCAATACGGTATGTAATACGTTTTACGTAAAATGCAATTATATATAAACTTATAATAGATTATAATAAATAAGCATGATTTACTTTTGTTCCGAGTCATTTCATTGTAAAATGCATCTCGATAATCTTTGGTATCAAAAAAATTATCTCGTTTATCCATTCATGGTTCGAAAGCTTTAATATTATCTACAACTTATACAACTCAACGATAATTCAATTACTAATATTCATATTCATATCATCAAAATATAATTTTTTAATTTTTATTTTTTTTTTTTAATTATAAAATTATTTCAGTCAAATTTATTAAATTATGAATTATGAAAATTCCCAGATTTTCATTGTTGTCGATAAAATAATTGTATGGAAACATATCTGACTATTAAAACTAGCAATAAAATTATTGGTCTGTAATACATTAAGATTATTATGATTAAAATAATAATGATATGGACATATATGATTATATTTTAATTAATTTTTCTAATAATTAATATAATTAAATTTATATGTAATATTATCACTCATTTTTAATATTTAAATCAATTTCTTTAATTTAATTTATTATTTCTATGAGAAGAAACAATCAATAAATTGTTATCCACATACATTTTCTTATATTTCATTTATCCTTCTTGCTCTCGTTCTACATAATCTCCCTCGTTAAATCGACTTGGGTTTATCTAAGATTCAAAAATTTGTGTGCTTTATTTAATAATTTTTTTTTTTTTCTATGCAATAGTTATATTCCCTTCTTGTTACTACGCACATATTTTTTTTCATGGATGTATGTATTATCGAGTTATTGTAATAATTGTCGTTTAAAAAGTCAAGATAACTTATCATACGTATGTTTAAAATAGCCAAGGTAGCCGGTGACTGTTTTGGTTCTCGCAAATGAGCCCGAGAACTATTATAATATTGATCGATACAATCGATATTTTAATGGAAATGTGCTATGATTAGCTATCCAAAGTTTGGTTTGGTGATCTATCAGTAATTTGAAGATTGATTCATAATAAACATCTGGTATGTAAGTGCATGTGGAAAAAGAAAAACCCTAATCTGTATTAATTTTTTTTTCAGTTTTTAAAAATAATAATAATAATTTTAATAAGTGAAAAATTTTGCAATACAAATAACCTACGTATGTTTTAGGAAAACACGAGGGAAAAAAAGGAATTAAAATTAGAAGAAATTAATTAATGTAAATTTCTCATAAGATTACGTATATAATGAAACGAAATGTAATGGATGTTCATGTTATCAATTCTCATTATATTTCTAATTTTATTTTTTTTACATAGCTTATATTTATAGCGTATATAAAAAGTAGAAGATGAGGAATTTTATTTTTTTATATACACAAATACGTCAGTCTTCACAAATATAGATTACTATAATTTTTTTATGCTACATGAATATACGATATATAATATAAAATAATTTTAAAAAAATTATATAACGATTCAAGCTCGTTAAAACAGAATAAAATTTATTTATATATTTATATCTTTTAAAATCGCGTATAAAAATTTTCTCTTTCGTCTTTCCATCATTCTTCTACTTATGTCTGTCATTTGTGAAAAAAGAAAAATCAGAAGCTAATAACGTGAACATTCAATGAGGGAAGATTCCGTTTTAACGCGCCATCGAATTAGGCTACGTGCTCCCTCTTTGTGCTACGACGATACACGAGGTAGGATCGTAAAGCATTTTCCTTCGTTCAACCGAGACGAAGGGAAATATCGCGACGGATAACAAGAGGATAGAGGTTGTAACGTTTTCATTGACTCACAAATAAAGTTAATCAAGCGGCGAGTGCTACGCAGCAATGGGCAATTATGCGATAGCTGTTCGAGGCGCAATGATATCTTCGTAAATGCATTCCATCGAACCCCGAAACGGTTATATACTTACACACGTATGTGCGCACACTTATAAATCGCGTTGCATTGCGCATGACCGCA